AAAAAAGAAAGATCTCATCACCATGGCAGAAAAGCCTTGCCTTTAACCCCATCTGCAAAAGGAACAGATCAACACTGAAGAGAACATGGGCGCCACACGGCGCACCTCTAGAACATATAACGCGAATCCAACCTAGAGAACCGGCGCACAACGAAGAAGGCAACCCAGAGGACCAGGAACAGAGAATGAGATCAAACATTCAGGGCCACCTGAATGGACAAACATAAGGTCCAAAGCATTTATATCCAAAGGATTCTTCGTTGCCTGGGGAGAAAAGACACGAGGTCAGTCTCTCAGCGGACATAGGGCCCAATTACCCGGTTGTAAAAGAGTGTAATCTCCCACCATGTGGATCCATCCTGGCATAGCAGAGTAGATCATACACTGCTGCCAAAATCAAAGGATGAAGCAAAAATTGCAGAGCAAATTCAAACATCAATTAATGTATACTGCCATCTCATCCTAGAAGCTGAGCAGCCATTAGCAGATCGGACTTTGGCTACAAGTATCCATGGACATCAGTACTGGAGGGAACGTTGCGCAGTTTGACCATGCATTCTCCCAGAAAGGAGCTGTGGCACTTCAACAAAGGTCGCAACACATCAAACGGAGAGTAAGGGCGCGCTCCTACCCAATAACGATGAGCCACTTGGATCTGCAGAAAACGAGTACGCCAAACCACCGAGGAGGACTTCACCATGAGGCTTGTACTCCTCTTTCTCCTCCCATCATCATGTCATTGCCATCATCGTCACCGTCATCATCGTTATCGTCATCATTACACCTCCACCTGACCACCTGGACCACCGGACCACCGGGACCACCGGTCCTGGCTTTCCAAGTTATTCTCTGGATCAGGTGGAGTGCCGTTATCGTCGTCATCGGAGGATCCGGCTCAGAGTCAGGCTTGGGTTTTGATTTCGACTTGGATTTCTTGCGAGAAGTAGAGGTCGTGGTCGCACCGGCAGTGCCGCTACTACCACCTCCACCTGCGACGAGAGCTGCGTCTTCTTGCGAGAAAGTCAGACGGCGAGAGGTCAATCTGCCAAGACGGGAGGTTGTCAGGGCACCTCGCGCGCGCTGAACCAAGGTCGAGGCCGGCGGTGATTCCATCAACCGCTGGAATCTCGTGGTCAACACCGCGCTACGTCGTCGGCTTTCGTCGATCCAGTTGTTCTGTTGTCCAAGGTCGGGCCACAGACCAGAGTCGCGGCGACCTAGAGGACGGAAGGGTTGTGGTGAGTAGATGGGAATGGAGAGCTCTTCATCTTCGAGGTCTCTAGTCTCTTGTTCTACTCGGGTTTGTTGAGTGCTAGTTCGCGTCATGGTCGGCTTGGAATTGGCGCAATTTTCGAAGTGATCTGGAGGTCAACTTCGAAAAAGGAGGAGCGACAACCCAGCGAACTGACGAACTTGCAGGTCAGGATCCAGCTCGAAGTGCCACATCATCCTTGAATGGTATCCAGGATCGCGTAGACTTCACTAGGATTGGTACGGCGAGACTACAACGTAAGTTGTCTCTGACCTGGTCGTCGTCGTCCAAAGAATGGCTTGTCAGCCATTTGGATTTCGACGTGGAGCTCAGCTCAAGCTTGAGCTTGCGGTCTTGCGGTCAACACCATCATCTTGATGTGACCTGATTCTCTTGTCTGAATTTGCCGAAAAACGGCAAGATCCAGCTCTCATCGTCCGACCATGACGAGAGAGGTCAACCATCGGTTTTTCGAACGCAACATCGCATCAAACTCACTCCGCTAGCCAATTACGTGAGGTAAACAACCTCCACCTAGTCTCGGCTTGGGTGCAAGTGTGACGAACGAGTTGGGCTCATAACCTGCGAACGGAGGCCGATGTGCAGTACGATGTAGACATGGGATGACACAAAAGAATAAGCTAAAAATTAAAAGGGGATTCTACGTCTACCTCGTTCTAGCGAGTCCCGGGAGGTTCACCTCGTGATTGCCAACCACCAGCTGGTTTTGGCTCCTCTCGCACCCAGCGGAAGCGAGCCAACCCTCCACTTAACACACGTTGACTTCAAAATTGCAAAACCTAAACCCTAAATATAAGCCACATGATTCATTCGATTCTATTCACCATTATCCTGTATTAGTAGACAAGTTAAACTAGTACTGGAAACGGAGACGACCCAGGGGGCATATGAATCTTTCTCTGGCTTTCTTTGCTGTGGTATCTTGGCTTGGCTGTTCTACAGTGTCTGCCAGTCTGTTTTGATTTGTGTTCGCTTGGCTGGCACGGTAGAGTAGATTACGACCAGAACAGATATTGGTGGTCTGGATTGATGTTGTGTTAGTTTTTTCAGTCTCCTTGTAGCTTTTGTGCGATTGAAGATGGATCGAGAGGACAAGTTTCAGGCATTGAACCGTCTGGTGACGCAACAGCAGGCGCAACAGCCGCAACCAACACAACAACAGCAACCATCAACAGGAGGAAATGATCGACAATTGTACAGTCCAACCCCCAAAGAGCTCGCGTACGCGTTGCATATAATGGAAAACAGTTTTGCCAGTTCCCTGCAGCTGTACAATCAGACTCAACATGCGCAGATTAGCATTACGGGTCAAGATGCCGTTGCTTTTTTGACGACCTCGGGGATCCATCGCTTGATTTTGCGCATCTTGTGGACGGTGGTGGATCCCAACAACACGGGCACTCTGGTAGATTTGGCTCAATTTCATACCATTATTCGATTGGTGGCTCTGACACAGGCAGGTCATGTCGAACCAGAATTGTTGGCCGTGGGGACCATGCCGCCTCCCAAGCCCACGCCGGTTCAAGTCATTTGGTCGATCCTCAACAAAACACGGGGGACCATGGTCCCGTTGGCGAAATTCGATGCCATACAAATGCCTTCACAACAGGTATTGCAACAACTCTACATGATACATCAGCGACAGGCGCAAGCTGCTGGACGAACCGTGGCAGTAGCACCACCACAACGGCCTCATTCCGTGTCTCCCGTGCCGAATAATTGGCCGCAACAACAGCCGCCACAACAACAGCCACAAGGAATGGCATCCTTTGATGCACTCGCTGGAGGGTCTCTAGACCAACCATTACCCAGCCTTGGCACAACAACAGCGGAAACAGCAGCACAACCAGCTATTTCCTTTCCAGTTGCTGCCGCCACGGCTAGTTCCATAAAATCCGCCGCTGCCAGTGCCTTTGGTGGATTTCTCAATCGAGCCGTGGGAGCTCTGCAACCTCCCAATACTGGACTACCACCATTCCAACCTGGAAATACGGCCCTTGGTTTGGGGCCACCAGTGAAATCGACGGGCGAATTTGATCCTGTAGATGACGAATTGAGCAACAGCGCCAATCAATTTGGGGGGTTCCAGAGTACGACTAGTAGTAGCACCCCTGCTGCGACTGGAATGGCAGCTCTGGACGCTCTTGGAAGTACCACGGATGCGCCCCTGCCGGGATTGCCTCCCCCGCAACCACTTGCTGCTGCTCCCCCTGTGATAGCGGCCCTGGATGCTCTTGGTGGCCCCATGGAGAATGCACCCTTGCCATCCATGACTGCCACAACAACAGCACCTCAACAAGATGATTTTGGAGGCTTTTCTGACGCAACCCCTGTCACCCAGGGCTTGGGAGCCCTCGATACCTTCGGTGGGCCTACAGAAAATGCACCCTTGCCATCCATGACCGCCACAACAGCACTTCAACAGCAACAGCAGCCTGCCAGTCAAGAAGAATTTGGTGGATTCACGGCATCCAACGCAGCATCCTCTTTGCCTTCCCCTCGTGGCTTGGCTGCTCTGGATACTTTAGGACCAGTCAAGAATGCCCCATTGCCAACATTGGGCACCGTAGGAGGTGGGGTGCAGCAGCCGCCACCGGTGACCGTGAGTGGCGGTTTTGGTGGCTTCCATGAAACTGCTCCTGCTATGGGATTGTCAGCTCTGGATTCTCTGGGAGCTGCTACGGATGCACCATTGCCAGCCTTGGGGCAGCCTACACCCGCTGCTGCTCAAGAGGCAGATGAATTTGGTGGGTTTGCAGAAGCAGCACCCCAACAAGAAGAGCAAGCTGCTGGTGGCTTTGGTGGATTTTCAGATGCTTCACCCCAACAGCAAGTCATGGGCATTGCAGCTCTGGACTCTCTGGGTGCTGCCGCGGATGCACCATTACCAGCCTTGGGGCAGCCTGCACCTGCAACCACTCAAGAGGCAGATGAATTTGGGGGGTTTGCAGAAGCAGCACCCCAACAAGGAGCACAAGGATCTGCTGATGGTTTTGGTGGATTTGGAGAGGCCCCACCCCAACAGCAAGTCATGGGCATGGCAGCTTTCGGTTCTTTGGGAGCTGCCTCTGATGCTCCATTGCCGGCCTTGGGGCAGCCCACACCGGCTGCCACACAAGAGGAAGATGAATTTGGTGGGTTTGCAGAAGCAGTTCCCCAACAAGAAGAGCAAGCTGCTTCAAGTGGCTTTGGTGGAATTGGAGGCATTGCAGCATTGGGTACTTTGCGTGGTGGTTCCACCAATGCTCCACTGTCTTCTTTGGAGCAACCAATGCCTACAACTCCTGCCGATGACGAATTTGGCGGTTTTGAGGATGTTGCTAAGACCAACACAAATCCTTTAGACGCGTTGGGGCCAACACAAAATGCTCCTTTGCCACAGCTTGACGGTCAGCCTGCGCTACAAGGTGTCGATTTTGGTGTCGTTTCCGGTGCTCCGGTTCAAGAGGGACGCTTTGACGACGAGGAGTTTGGAGGCTTCAGCGATACGACTGCGCAGCCGCAGCAACAACCGTCCAGCGATGTTGGTGGCATGGCGGCATTTGACGCCTTGGGTGGAGTGCAGGATGTTCCTTTGCCAAGTCCGGGCATGGGACAACCACAATCCGAAAGAGTGTTGAGTAACGTGACACCTCCGCAACTGTCGTCCATCCAACCAAGTGCCTCTTTTCCCGGGATGGGCGCCGGCGGCAGTGAAATGGGAATGTCCGCTTTCGACACCATTGGACCAGCTCAAGATGCGCCACTTCCTAGTCTCGGAGCATCGAGCGCAGCGACTTCGCAGGCCACATCGGAAGACCTCGATTTGGAAGTCGAGCAATTTGTGACTGCTGGGACCTCAGGTTCCACATCTGCGGAAGATAACAACGAAATGTCCTTCACGGAAGAGGGCAAACCGAAGCGCCGCATCAGCAGAAGTCTGAAGCGTGGTTCCAGTAGAAGTCTTGTTTCTCCTGAGACTGTCCCAAAAGATCTGATGCCTAATATTTCCGGCGAGAAGTACGTACAGAAGGTGAGGCAGTCTAGCTTGCGGAAACTCCCCGAGCTCGATCTGAACATTGATTTGGACGAGCTTGAAGACCCCTTTGCTGGGCTCGATCCGGCTCCGGGGGTTGCTGTTGCCCCGATGGAATTGAACGAATCGGCCTCTTTAGGACCAGCGGCAGAAAGCATGCCAAAAGACCTTCAACCTCACAAGGAAGGGGAACACTACGTTCCACACAGCAAGCACATGACAGAAACACCGGGAGGGTTGCAGACCTTAATGGAACCGAACCATGGTTTTGAAGACGATGACTTTGGCGACTTCGAAGAAGCCGTCCCGAAAAGAAGATCATCGGTGCCCAGTCAAGACCCTGCGTCGGAACCAAATCCGTTTGCCACGACCATGCCGCGCGATCTATCTCCTCACGCTCCAGGGGAGCACTATGTCCCTCATGGTACCAACGTCGGCAAGACACCTGGAGGTCTTTCAACTGTTGGAGAAGGGAGCGATGTGTCGAACCTTGGCAGCACATCTACAGTTCCGTCGCATCTAAACTCACAAACGAAACTTGCTTATCCGGACGATCCAATGCCGAATGATTTGCGGCCTCACATGCCAGGCGAACACTATGTACCGCACGCTGCAAACGACAAGGCAACGCCGGGTGGACTCGCCACTGTTGGTGAGGCATTTGGTGAGTTCGTGCAGGTCCAGGATGCTCCCCTACCACGCATGGGAGCAGCAGAAGAGTTTGGAGACTTCTCGGGCCCCAGTTCTGGCCTTCAATCAATGATGCCACTTCCTACCCAGCTTTCAAGGCAGGCAACACCTGCAGCAAAGGATTTGGATCATTTGACCAAGAAAGCATCAGCTGCTCCCATGGGTGAAATGATCCAAGAGGGCGATGAAGAAGATGAGGAGGACGATGATTTTGGAGATTTCAAAACATCAGAATCACTTGGCTTGCCAGGTGGTTTTGAAATTGCTCCTCCAACCCAAATGAAGCGCCAAGCTACACCGCGCCCTCAAGATCTTCAAGATCTTCGTCCTGACCCACCTGCTTCAGAAAAAAGTCGGCCAGATCCACCTGGCCAGTCATCAGAGGCAGGCCTTGGCATCATCTCAGAGAGCCTTGAAGAAGTCACATCCAATCCAGTTGATCACTTTGGGGCCTTCTCTGGTGCCAGTGTGGGCATTCAAGCTATGCCGCCCCCACCTACACAACTTTCCAGACAAGCTACACCTGCCGCTAAAGATCTGGAACCATTGACCAAGAAAGCATCTGCTGTTCCCCCGGGCAGTGCCACAATCCACGAGGACGATGAGGACGACACGGATTTTGGAGACTTTTCAGATGCCACTCCCACTGCTGTGCCAACAATGCCAATGCCCACTCAGCTGTCAAGACAAGCGACTCCAGCAGCCAAAGACCTGGATCCGCTGACTAAGAAAGGAGCATCTGTAGGTGCCCTTGGTGGCATGACAATCCAAGAAGGCGAGGAAGAAGTTGAAGAAGATGGTGATGAATTCACAGGTTTCGAAGGTGCGACCATGACGCCTGGTCAAATGGATATAGTTCCTCCTCCACAAATGAAGCGGAAAGCCACACCACGTCCACAAGACATTAAACCCAATTTGCCCGGTACTGCAAGCGGGTCGTTGAGGCAACCTGGCCTTTCTGCTATCGGTGAAAGCCAAGCAACAGCCGAAGAATTCGAGTCTTCGCCAGCCTCTCCGGATCCGTTTTCCGCTTTTGATTCATTGGCTGCCCCTCAGGCCGCCTTGCCAGTTTTGTCCTTGTTTGGTGCACCCGATGAAGGCGATGCTGCCGCGGCACCGCTGGACCTTTCTCGACAAGCGACTCCTGCTGTCCAGGATCTCCAGAAGATCACTCGCCAAACGCACGTACCGAGTAGCTCCGCGATTGCCGAGGGCAACGAAGAGGAGGACGACTTCGGCGATTTCGGTGCGGCGCGACCGAGCACCATCTCTACTACCCCTAGCTTAGACGTGGTCGCCTTGCAGGCACAGACAAGCCTTGCACGTCAAACATCAGGCGACGTTTCAATCGGTCGACTTGGGTTGAGGTCCACTACAAGTCTCCTCATGGATGAATCCGACGACGACGAGGAGGAGGAGGCCCAAGAAATTCGCTCTCATCGCAACGCTGGATCTGTCTCCAGGGCTGAAGGGCACTCTCATCTCAATCTCGCAGAGAGGTCATGGAGTCCCATGGCTAATGTACCAGATGAAATTGGGACAACAAAGATGGTCGAGAACGTCAGCGGCTTTGGTGATTTTGGCTTCTCTTCTTCTTCGGATGTTGCGCCCTCACACTTGTCGCGACAGGCCACACCAGCTGTAAAAGACCTCGAACCTTATACGAAGAAGACGACTGCCGTCGCAAGTCCAGCAATCGTCGAAGAGAACGATAACGAAGATGATGATGAATTTGGCAATTTTGCTGCGGCAAGTGCTGGTGGGACAGTTGCACCACCACCAGCTCAATTGTCAAGGCAAGCTACACCAGCCGCCAAGGACCTTGCCCCGCTTACTCAGAAGGCATCCGCAGCCCCGACGCCCGGTACCATCGTCGAAGAAGGAGACGAAGAAGAGGAAACTGATGGTTTCGGTGACTTCGTCATGCCTGGGACGACACAAATTGCCCCTCCGACTCAAATGAAGCGACAGGCGACTCCGATGCCACAGGATCTCCGTCCTGATTTTCCCACTCCAAAAAGTGAAACGCAAGGTCTGGGTGCAATCGGAGAAGATTTGGGTGAAACCACGAGTGATTTCCAAGCATCGGGTGTGTTGCCACGGCCCCAGTTATCTCGACAAGCGACGCCGGCGGTGCAAGACCTGAAGCCACTCACTCAAAAGTCATCGCCTGGTGCCTTGGCTAGCAGTGATGTCATTTTGGAGGAAGACGATGCAGAGGATTTCGGCGACTTCAGCGACGGCGCAACCAATCCTCCACCACCGCCTCCAGCACAACTATCGAGGCAAGCCACTCCTGCAGCGAAAGATCTGGCCCCGTTAACTAAGAAGGCGGCCTCGGGAGGTGCTCTTGAAGGCAAGGCAATCCAGGAATGGGACGAGGAAGAAGGAGAAGATGAATTTGGGGACTTCGGCGATTTCACCGGTTTCCAGGAAGGCGACAAATTGTCTGATATGCCGGTTCCGCAGAAGGATACTCCACAGCCTCAGGATTTGAGCAGTCAAGAGCTTGCAGAATCAAAGCAATCGCAAAACCCCAACTTTGGGTCCACCGGAGAAGCAGCAGAAGGGGCCATCACCGAGGAAGCGAACGATTCGTTTGGTGACTTTGGAAGTTTTGAACAAGCGGAGGAACCGAAAACAGTCGCTCCCAAAGACGATATTGGTGGTTTTTCTGCTTTTGCCGAAGCACCAGCTCCTCCGCTAGCGGACGAACCGACAACGGGCACCCCCAAAGACGACTTTGGTGGTTTTTCTGCTTTTGCCGAAGCGCCCGCTCCACCGCCAGCGGAGGAACCGAAAACGGACTCTCCCAAAGGCGACTTTGGTGGTTTTTCTGCTTTTGCCGAAGCACCCGCTCCACCTCCAGCAGATGAAGACTTTGGGGACTTCGGGGATTTTTCAACAGCCGCTCCAGCTTCGTCTCCCGACCCGTTTGCAGCGACTTCGCCAAGTGGGGGTGCAGCTGAGTGGGACGCTTTTCAAGATGCTCCGAGTAGTGCTGCTGACGTTGCCCGCAGCTCCACAGCTGATGATAACCTGCGGGCGAGCGTGGTGACTCTGTCAACTCAGCTGCCTCCGGCTTTTCAGAAGTCACTGGATTATGGCAAACTATTTGATGGACGTATTGGAAGCCCAGCAGCGATGACAGCAGAAAACAGGAATCGAGCCGAGCGTGCAGTTCAGGTTTTGTCATTGCTATCAGGTGCTCACAAGAGTTTGGCTTCCACTTACTGGGATCAATCGATCGACGTCGTCCACAATGAGCTCTCTTTGGGAATGCGCCTGTTAGAGGAGGCAGCTAGTCTTTCGAGCCAAGAGCTTCAAATGGCAAAACAACCCGTGGAGACCATGGTGAGCGGAATGGGCGAGTACGTTCGAGCAACGCGATCCATTGTTGCGTCGATTGGTGACATGTTACTGCTTGACTTATCGACGCCCTTCGCAGAGGCAACATTTGACTCAGCGTGGGGATCAATCCCGCTGCTCAAGAGAGCTTTGGACGTGGAAACCCTGTGGAAGGGAATCATTGATAAGTCCGCGTCGCTAGGTTTGGTCCCTACAACACAACTGGAAACTGTGATGGAAATTCGGGCGAAGTGTTTGAGGCGCTTCCCTTCGACGACAGTATGTCAGCTGTCGTTGCAACCTCTTTCAGACGAAGACAGGCAAACCACCAAGGCATCGGTGGACTGGGGCGGCAAGCCTTTCATGGCTTGTTCTGCCAATTTCTTGGCCAACAAATGCCCTTTCTATCAGCAGTAGATGATAAGGAGGCACATACGCATGCACCAACAACTCTATTTAATTAAGAACCATCTACACAGCATAACTCCTTATGCGGCTTGCTTTTCCTATTGGCGTTCCCTGGACAACCTCTTTTGCCTTTGCCATTGGCCGTTCACTTCCTTTAAGCGGAGTGTTGCTACACATCATCAAGCATCGTGTGTTGTTAAACAGCCGGAGGGTCCACGCTGGATGAGGCGCCCGAAGATGTGGTGCTAGACAAAGTGTCACTGGACGAGACCTGGATCGTCTTGGACACTGACACTTCCTTCCGTGTCCGCATTTGGTCGGAAGAGTTCAAAGCTTCCAGTTGTTCCGCCAGGCGAGAGGGGCGTTTGTTCCGGGACGATGGTGCGTGTCCTTGTGGATCTGGGCAATCACGAGAAGCTCTTTGCTTTTTGGACGATGATGTTAAGCGAGGTTTGGCCTGTTTCCCAATCTCCATGACGAGCCCTCCTCTGCGGTCATGATGTTCTAGCAACGTAACCCTCGTTTTCGACGTCGAAGAAGGCACCTTGAACGTCTTTTCCCCAGGATGCGCAGGATTCTGAAAGGCGTCCTTCTTTCGGTTTGGCAACTTTTTGACGTGCTTCTTTAACCAAGAAGTCATTCGTTTTGACACGACCTCTTGTTGCTTTTGCTGCTGCTCTTGTTGTTTGGCCCTTTTGACCGCTTTGAGGTCTCGAATAGTGTCTTCAGCAAGATCCAGCCGGTCACGCAATTGCAAGTTATCCTGTTCCAGCTTCTTTCGCCATGTGGTCAAGTCCTGAATGATCATGGATTGCTGCTTGGAATCTTGTTTGATGTTGAGTTTCTTCAACTGTCGGGCCAGGTCGTCTCCGTCCATGTTTGGAGAGACGGCCGGTTCCGTGGACAGCAACTGAATGACAGAGGGGACACCCCCCAAGTCCTTGCTGTTTGGGTTATGATTCTGAATTGCCTTTCTCAAGGATGATTTGAAGGTTTGAAGTCTATTCTTTTCTTCTTCTTCGACGGAGCGGAACTGGGATGAAGGAGGTGGAGGAAGAAAGGATACAACATCGTGGGAAGTAGAGGAAGGAGGAACAGAATCCATGCCACTGCTCATGACAATTCCATCTGCATCGATTGCTCGTCGTTTCGGCTGAGCACTGCGGCGACGTGTTTTCATCCTGCTGGGATGTCGAATAGCCGTGACAGCCTTCATGGGGAAATGAGGCTGGTGCCACTGATCCTCTTGATTCGAAAAGAAAGTTGGTACTGTACCAAGCAACTGCACAGGAATTGTTTCTATGAGGCAGCGGTTTCAAGGGATCAGAAGGGAATGTATTTGGCGAGGTTTCCTTACAAGACTACTTGTTTGTCTCCTCTTAGAGAGCAAAGAATTTGGAGAAAGAAATTTGTCCAGTGGCTCGTGTTGGTGAGAGCATTGGTGCAGCTTCGAGGTGAGATCTTTCTCGAAACGAGATTCGGGACCTTAGAGTTAGAGCTAAAGTTAAAAGACGCACACCAACGGCAGAAGAGTTCGGACCATGACGGCCGATGCCATCAAAATCGACAGACAAAATAGACTAGAAGAACAAACTCATGTGGTTGTATGCCTATCAATGTGTGATCCTTCCATTGATAGGAGAAGCCATTCAATCAGAGTGGCAAAAGAGCGAGAAGAGTCCGGTGATGGCACCACAGAGTAGCAAGATGGCTGATGAATCAAGGAAAGAAGGAATAGTCGAAGAGGAGGTGATCCGAAGAGCTTCCTTGTCTTGTCTCGAATTTTGGGCTGGAGCAAAAGAAAGGAAACGAGATGAAAACGGAGGATTGGTGGACAAGAAGCAAGATGATACCACTAGCATTGTGTCAGCTTCCATTGATAAGGAATGCCTCGTCACGTCGCTTAGCCAAGGCAAAACAGCTTCAATTCAAGGAGCCAAATTCGATTTTTCAACTATGGTGGGATCAGAAGGAAACGAAAGAAGAGAGACGTCGAGTCTCTACCAGGACGAAGCAGGACTACCCGACAGCAGCAGCATGAGTCACGACGCAAAAGTTCTATCTGTCAAGATTCTTCCGGTGGGACCTCAGAATGCCGCTTCGGTTCAAGTTGTAGTTGAAATCAGTCGCCAGAACGACATCGTCGAGAAACCCACAATACTAGCGACAATTCATGGATTCTTGACGCTCTTAAAATCATCAAACCACCGGACCTGCATATCGGCAGCATTCTCCACCAACACGGGTACAATCCTACCCGAACACTTCAATGCCGTGACAAAATTAACCTGGGAAGGTTATTGTGGAGCAAATCGTGCCCGTGATGGGGCAGCCATGGCAAAAGTGTTTCATCCAAGCTGTCGACTTACATATGTACAAGACGACTCGATGGTCGCCGTCGTCCCTCAACCAGCATTTTGTGCCAAGGTTCAACATCGCTACACCAAAGAAACCATGCATCAACCCTATGCCCCGCTTCAGGCACACCCAAACATTGGGATGCATGATACGTTGCAGGATGTGGAGTTTGCCACTCCTGATTGCTGCATGGTGACATTGAAAGTTGGGCACCCACCATGTCTGTGGTCGGATTTGCTGACGTGTTGCTATTTGGGAAGCGACCAGGGCTGGTGGATCATGCACAAATCCAGCTGTCACGAAGAGTTTATGTTGACGGATGACATGAAGGCATTATTGGGCGCTAGCTAGCGAGTACTCAAGTCAAAGATACGGCCTAGCTCATTCGATTCATGGGGAACGGATCGAGTGAATCATGTCATGACTTCATCTTAGGCATGTACAATAGAGAACTTGACTCTGGTGTCATCATTGTGGAATATTTTTGACGTCAAAGACTCGACTCCTGCAGTTACAATCGAATCGGTGCCTGCCTCCAACTACCGGTACCCCAAAGGGCTCAGCGACCAGACATAAATAAATGGTATCAACTAAGCTTCTAATCGGTAGTTCGAACATCCGTTGGCAAGGAGATTGAACCCACCGGTACGTTACTTGCAGTTATCACAACTACTATAACCCTACCGGACGTAGCTAGCCTATACATACAGCATGCAAAAGGCCAATCACAAGTACATTTCGCCTCACCACCCTCACGTGCTCAACAACTGAAAAGGAAAGAAGACGGCACTTAAACGCTGGACATGCATGACGTCTCAGACTCCGAGTCAGAACATGATGATGGAAACAAGCAGTTGGATTCGTATTCCAATGGACTAGTAGGATTTCCGTGCTTCTCTGAATTGGCCAGTCGCATTTGGATTTGAATGTGAGGAGCCAAGACTTCTCCGGTTCGAACCACACCGCCACGTCCCGTCGGATAGGGAGGCAACTCGCGGAACAAAGACATGGCCTTGAGCTCGTCTTGTCCATCTTTGGAGACGAACTTGAAACCATTTGCAGTGCCCCGGCAATTGAAGGCGCCACAATCACAGATACCTGAACTGTTGATGCTTGGAGCTGTCGATCTATCCCACCAAATCGTGTTAAAGTCTTGGGTCAATAACTCTCCCTTGCGAATCGGTTTGACGGCATAGACACTCCTCCATTCATCATCCTCTCCTTCCGTCTTGTGGTTGTAGGTGGTGTTGGGATCACAGGAATGGGTTCGGAACATGTCGTAGCCGGAGAAGCGGTTTTGACCTTGACAATCGATAAAAGCACACTCTTCGGGAATCATTCGAGCTACTGTGCCCTCAGGCAAATCGCTCTCTCGCAGTTGGGTGGCCGCGACCATGTCCACGATGGCATTGCCCGGCCATTGTTGATTCCAGAAGCTGTAGACCAGCTCGCCACGATCAAAGTCCCTCATTGCGTATAAGCCAAGCTTTGCCGTTTTAGCGTTCTGTTTCACGAGAACATCCGAATCCGAGCAGCTGGGCCCAGGAAACACGAGCCGAATGACATTGTCGTCTCCTTGCACATTGCTTCGGTTGTTTTCGGTGTGAGGCTTATCCCTGGTGTCAAAAACAGCCTGCTTATTTTCAATCTGGACACCTTCGTGTCGAGCTCGGATGTATTCACTGACTCGAGGCAGCGTCTTCTCCTTGTCCTGGGCATCAAGAGCTTGAAAGCCAGCAAAGATACCCCTGCACTTTTCGGCTCCACACAAACAAGTGAAGCTGTGACGATGGCAGAAGAGCTGATGGGTGTAATCGTAGGTAAGCTCGTCTCCAGGATAAAGATCTCTAGCAGCGATTGCCTCGCCTTCTGGTTCTTTATGACTTGAATCAATGGTACTGGGATCGCAACTGTGGTTCATCAGCATCCATGGTACCTCCAGTCTCCATGTCTCAGCAGGCTTGTCCTCCTCGTCGGAATTTTCAATCAAAGTTGGGACACCATGGGTTTGCAGGAGCATCTCTTTCGTAATTGGATAGAGCTCGGGGACTGGACCTTCACCTTTTTCATATCTGGCCGCCAGAGACGCCATTTCGTGATTGTGAAGGCGCAGAGAGTCACCATCTTCCACGTCGGAAAACAAGAACTCAAGGCTGTCCAAGAGAATGGGGTCTCCTTTGGCAATAAACCGATTTGCAACCATACCTAATCCCTCCCCCCCGCACTTCCCGCTCACGACACGATAATCATTGGTAAAGGCAGGGCAGAAAACCTGCTGTGATACTTTCTTTTTGGTAAGAGGCTCCATTTTTTGGATTTGTGTATGGGAAAGGATCTTTTCGATACGAAATCTTCGGTTGCCAGAACCAAACCAGTCCTTTGGAACCGAAGCAAAGCAAAAAGCAAAAAATGAGCTTGCACATTTTTTCATCAACAAAAATCTTTTGAAAGCGGTAGTGAATGCATTTATTTGGTAGTTACAAGAAACGCGTCACAAGTTGTACGGTACCGTAATTTCCGTAGTGGAGTAGCAGGGCGGTCTGTTGTCAATCACAAGATCAATCGAATCTTCTTCAGTCATGGGAGGAACCGTCAATCAGATTGGATTCTTCCCTGAATCTTATAAAAAAATGATTTTTCTGTGTTGGGACTGTTGGACTGTACAACCAACCAAGTGCAACAACAAGAACAACGAGGATGTAACAAACTACATGCTCATGGCTGGAACTGCCTTGGAGCTCATCATTGTGGGTTCTCATTGCTACAATCCTCGCCGGGTATTCATTTGCGTATGCCCAATAATCTGCTTGGCACCTCATCAGAAAGAGCAACACTAGCTACTGGTACCGTACTACATGATAGCTACTAGCTAGCCAACAGCAATGACTGCTAATGAAACAAACCATTTTGAAGGTACAGCAATGGTTGTCATTGTCCATTCCCAAGCTGGCGAGTCATTCATCCCCAAGTTTGAGAATGACATCATTCAATCTGGAAATCATGATTATTAATACTAAAAGAAAACGATTCTAAAGACTGATTGGGTGCAGTGGACTTGATTATCTGCTGATTCGATTGAGATTCAGGAGTCTCCCTGTAGCAGCATGATACCGTACACATACCGGTACCGTACATAATGATGCGCTTTTTAAATATATTTCGTTGTGACTTATCCATGGCCACCAATGGGTGGTACTTAGTTAGACACTCGGTTGGTTCTGATGCGCCCATAGCCCGGGTGGTTGCAGTTGCGGGTCCAGAAGTTCGTCCTTCCTGTTGGCTGTTCTGATTGTACTAGCTAGTACCAATTAGATGACTCGCCATCATCTTTTCCAGCGGAAGAAAGCTGTCAAACTGTCTCACTTGCAAGCTCAATGCATTCAGTCAGTCGGGAGCCACTACTAGCTTTTGTTATACCCGGAGAGCTTGCGGCTCTGGACGTCGCATATCAAGATTGAAGATTTGGATTTGATTTGGTTCCTTGCAAGTGGTACCACCTGGTACGGGGATTTTAATAGCGTATCAAGGCGTGCTTTGGTGTAAATAAATAAGCCAAGGAAGCTGGAAGAGCAAATAAAATGGACCGGAGCATTCTCTCCTAAACACTCTCCAAATTTACTCTCCAAATTTGTGTACAAAGAGTGTCGCGAGAACAATCTTGGCGGGCGAGGGCTTTTTCCGATCAATGTCTTGTCGTCTTGCCTCCAAGCGACCTCTTTCATTCTTTCTCAGTCAACAACACATGCACAGAGCCCCTCCACCCACCTATCATCTATCTTCCATCTGACCTAATCGATAATATACAACCATGGCAGAACATGACTTGGGATTGCTCGATGATGATACCTACAAGGTGAAAATCTTGAGTCAAAAGATCTTGGGTATTGCTGAAGTCTATCTGTACAAGATCCCACGCGAGAAAGATCCTGGACAGCAGTACTTGTGAGTAAAGTCAGTTCTGTGTTTGGTGCCTCCGCTGCCTGTATCTTATCTTATCTTATCTTATCCCCTCGTTGCTTATCTTTCTTAGTGCCGATGAATGGGTTTTGAAGCGACCCTTGAAGGAATGTTCGTTGCGAGTGGAACGCCGCGGTGATGCCTTGCTGCTACTGTTCACCTATGTGCAAGAGGGCAAACAAGGTTCGACTCTATTTGCCCTTTGCTGCATTGACCTGATCAACGGAAATCAGGACATGAATCACCATGTCTTGACGGTGGGAGACTCGAGCCGTTACTTTGTTGTCCGTGTATCGGACGAACAGGGGGAGCGAGAAGCTCTCTTGGGACTCGGATTCCGAGAACGAGACGAAGCTGCTGATTTCCGTGCTGCCATCTCGCATTATGTCAATGCTGTCATCAAGGAGAAAATGGCTCGAAGTGCCGCTGCAGGAGAGGAGGAGCTTGTCGAACAGTAATCGGCATACTTGTACATTCGGTCTCTGTTTGGTCGGCCCCAGAACACGTCACAACAACAACCCAATCTGCCGGATACTTTGAAACCAATCTACAATCTATTTGTCGTTCGGCGCATGCATGCATATACTAGTACCTTATATCTTTTACGTCATTATGATGTTTCCTAGGAACGATGTTGCTCTCTGCTAGAGATTTAAAAATTGCGAGATAAAGCGAACTCGCATTACCTACTAGCTAGGGTACCGTAGCACAAGCAGTTCTTCAGAACGCTAGTTAGTAGGTTGCGATGTGATTTAGCATCTGTAGAATATCAAATGACTCTTTAGCTTTGGGTTCGATTGCGCTGGCTGAAGAGCAGATTGCTGAAAGGTGGGGGTGTCGCTTGTGATGACGAGGAACTCGAGTACTGTACCCCACGGAAAGCCTGCGTTTTTCCCGTCGTTCTGATTCAGACGCAGACTACTGAGACGACGGCAGCATTAACATTCCATGTCTAGTGGGGTTAGGCATTAACAAACATTACAGGAACCACCGCAAACAGACTGGCTCGACTCTGGCGTCCAAGCTTACACGATATGCTTGGCGCTGTCTGTTTGGCTTCCTGGCAGTCCCAATTCGTCGTTGGTTTGCACCTTGTGCATCTTTGCAGGATCATCCACCTTTTGTTCTGGGTCTTCGGAAAAGAACATGGTCGTGGCGCGGTAGGCTTCCAATTCGACCTCCTTTCCCAGCATGTGGCCCTCTGCATCCATCACTAGGCCGTCCGGTGTCCTGATCGAGGGGCGCTTGTATCCTTCGCCAGGGCCACATGTAGGAGTTAACTTCATGACTACCTTGGCCACTGACTTGAACTTCGACTTGAGATCCCTGAGTTTCGGTAGGCTCTTAGACAGATCAATGCTGGACAGAGATGATTCATCTTCCTTGAACCATTTGCATCGTAAGGCTTCTTCGGCTGTCCATCGTTGAAGAGGCTAGTCCACAAACACGCAAATGGGCATAGATATCAGACGGGCACATCAAGCTAGAATGGTTGTCAATCTAGTACTCACCTCAGGGACAAGCAATTTGCGAACAAGTTCCTCGGCAGCATCCGAAATGGCACCCGTATTGACAATGTGAGGGGGAAATGCCCATTTTCCCAAACGAATCTTGGCAAAGAGCTCCTTCTCGGTAGCTGCAGCAAAGGGCGGCGTTCCACACAGCAGCATGTACAATAAGACACCAATGCTCCACATGTCAGCGGATTGATCGTAAGGAATGTGTTTGACTACTTCGGGGGCCATGTACAAGGGTTGGCCACAGCACCTCGTGACACTTCGAGGAGCCGGGACACGGCGCGCCAAGCCAAAATCGCACAGTTTCACAATCGGGGCCGTCGACTTTTTGTCGCCTTTGGTATCGCCTTGGCTAGCATCCGCATCAACCATCAGTACATTGTCCAACGACAAATCCCTGTGGACAACTCCTTCCCCATGAATATATGCAATAACCTGAAGCAAGGGTTCCACAATGGCACGAGCGTCTTGCTCGGTGAAAGAAACAGGTTTCTTTTTCTGGAGTTGCATCCTCATCAAATGTTCCATCACCGATACTCCTGGGACATGTTCCAAGATGACGTAGTAGTTGCTAGTGTCTTCCAAGAAATCGACAATCTGAACCATAGCTGGATGCTTTAGGTTTTGCATGACTGCTACCTCGTGCAAGACTGCCTGTTCCACATCTGAGCCACTGTTGCGAGGGATCATTTTGACCGCCAAGGTTTCCTGATCGCCAAGTTTCTTGCCCGAAGTTGGCTTTTTTCGAACGCACTTGTACACGGTGCAGTGTTCACCCCTGGCAATCTCGTCTTGAATTTCGTAGAGTTCGTCAAAGTTCTGTGTTTTGCCTTTCCATTGCGAGAGCAAAGGCGTTCCAGCGTTGTGTTTTTGGTTGGATTTGTCCTCGTCGCCATCAGTATCCCACGCCTTGACCTTTTGTAGCAATGAGCTGTGATCTTTGACCACAAACCGTGAGAAATGGGACGTGAGTCGGACTGCATGCACAGCACTCTTGAATCGCCGTTTGGCAACCCAAGACTTCAGTTCACGAACACTGCTTGTGAGATCATTGCCCCTCAATTGATCATCTGTGGTGGCAGTAAACCAAGCCGATTGTAGGGCTTCTGAGGCTGTGGCACGGTAGTAGGGGTCGACTCGCAGCAAACTGGCCAAGCACTGCTTGGCGGGGATACTGACTTGCTTCCACTGGGGAGCCGAGAAGTCATAATCGGCTGCCTGAATCTTCCGAAACAAGCCTTGGAAAGAGGTATCGGCAAAGGGTGGCTTTCCTCCCAATAGCATAAACAACAGAGTACCAATGCTCCACATATCCACTTGTGTATTGTAGTGCCTTCCCGCGACGACTTCAGGTGCGACAAATGCTGGAGTTCCACAGCGGGTGCTCAAGAAGCCACCTGATTTGGGAACATACTGCGCCATACCAAAGTCTGCTACCACCACTTGACTAGCTTGCATTCGACTGACCAACAACAAGTTCTCTGGCTTTAAATCTCGATGAGCCAATCGTCGCAAATGAAGCAACTCCATGACAGAAAACAGCGTCCTAGCCAAATCACGGGCATCATGTTCTGTATAAGTTTTCTGCTTGGATAGTTGTTCAAAGACATCACCTCCACGACAGAGCGTCTGCACCACATGGACATGCGTCTTGGTCACAAAACAGTCCTTCAGCCGAGTGACATTGTCCAAGTCTCGAATATCTCTGAGGATGGCCAATTCGCGAAAAACTGTCAAGTCTGATTCTTTCTTGAGTTTGGTCCTATCAATTATCTTGCACGCATATTGGCTCGAGTCGACTGACTTGTCTTTGAGCTCTGTCGTATAGACTTCGCCAAAAGATCCAGATCCAATGCGCTGCAGCAGAGTATAGCAATCCGAGAAGGTTTTGCCTTCTGGATGGATTCCTAGAGCATTTCCTTCACCAAAAGTGACACCGTCGATCATGGTCACTATCAATCACTCCAACTACACTGCTCTTTACCGAACAAACAAACTGAGAAAGATAACCTCTATTGGTAGATATATTAATGGTTCCACAGCGGCAGCCAGATGTGTATGATAGCTTCCCAGACTAATAGCGAGACCCAATGTCCAATGTTGATGGCGGGGGTATCGAGTACAGTATCGAGCGGCCCGTTGGTTGGTTCTTGCTTGATTGAATTGAGGAAGCCTCTGTGAAGCCACTTAAGATTTTGGCGTGACGATCGGTATTAAAAGAGATAGTGTAGGCATCGCTCAAAAGCTAAAGGCTTATGTTTTAGGGTTATCCAAACCGACGGAGGAGCCACCTTATGATAAACCATACTGTACTAGCTACTCTGAGTGGAGGTCTATGATAGCTAGTACCTCCTCCCTCATTGGATGGATGGTACCAGTAGCCTGTACTAGTACTCTGAGTAGTGACCCATCTGCCTCCCCATTCGCCGGAGGAGTACGTATTAGGTACCGGCATGCCCATCGCACTCAACATTAAGCCATAGATGATGTACTCAGAGAAAGAATCACAGACCAGTCTGTGCCTCACGGAAGACACTGATCGTTGATGGGTGGGAATTGCAGTGGATCAGACGTGCTGGTTGCTGGTTCAGCCCCACTACAGTGGCAGGCAGTCCAGTGGTAGAGACAGAGGTCGGAAAGGGGAATTGTTCCTCACCATCCCAACATTGATGGCCTGACATGATGATATTCCAGCTTTGCTGTTGTTGACTGAAAATTCCAAGACCTCAAGCCTTTTATTTCTAGCCCTAAGAAACTGTGGAGTGACAGAGATGCTTTCCACCCGGGCAACTCTAAAAGAGAGCGTTACGCACGTCGGCGGCAACACTTCGTTGAGGTCATACAATTCACAGAGTGAATTGAAAGTTGAAGCAACGGTTTTGTCACATAGGCGGTCCCTGGTCACACTAAAACGGAGTATACTTGCCATTGCCATCGATCGTACGGTTAGAACTCTTGGTGCCCTGGTGGTACCACCAAGAAACGTGGCGCCATGCAAGAAAGGGTGCGGTGGGGTACCAGTAGCGGTACCAGGTACCACGGTGCTGGCTACTGCTGTACATTGTACCGGTAGCGGTACGGCACGGCACGGCAGGACTGGTACCGGTAGCCCTACCGTATCTATGTTTGTTCCTCTGCTTTGCATCACCCCACGGCCTTCTTTACTTAGCGGGCCCCACATTGCCGGAAAAGGTTTGATCTAGCTAGATCTACCACGCTCGAAACAATGCCAATCAGAATAGCTATCAGAATGATTCAATCTACTAGTATGGGACCTCTACAAGCTGGTAGCTTTATTTCGTTATTACTGGTAGACAGCCGCTGGGTCTTCTCTTGCACTAATGCGGAATTTTCCCCGTGGAGGTGCGACCTAAATGCCAGGGCCATGACAATGACGTCGTCGTCGATGACTCGATGACAAACAACCGAACTTAGCTTTTCTTTGGTTTGTCCCTTGCGGACAACGATGGAGTGGCGCGGAGCGCAGCGTCAGCAGCAACTCCAACCAGCCAAGAGTGTGATTAGGCAACCCACACCTAAATGAAAGGCGTTGAACACAAAAAGTCTCCAATGTTCCCACCTAAGTGATATTCAGATACCTATACCTTTTATTAACAATTTAAGTTTTGAGAGCCTGAAGAGCTTGTTTGGAGAGTTTGGCCGTCCACTGACAGTCTCGTGGGTTTTCTGAAACCGAATAATTTCCGAACTTGGATCCGATTTTATTTTTACGATTTTTCGTCCGGGACGGCCACCAATCTTGGTGTGACTGGCCAACACTTGAGATCGTGGTACGACCGAAGCCCGCCTGTGTTGTACTGTACTAGTAGCCTTTCGAGCAACGGCATAAACTCGAGCTGCTTCATTCCCACCATCTAGTAGACATCAAGATAGCCAAAAACGAGGTATGTATGTCACAGACAGGGTAAAGATAGTCGAGGACTGGTTCAATCGTTGCAAAGTGGTCATTCCTCTGAGGCTGTCTTCAAAGCTGGATGAAAGCCAAGGTCCAATCTTCAGAGGCCGGAAACGATGCACATGTCCAAACGAGGCAATCTTTGTCGCTTAGGTGTCGAGCGATGCGTCACCACATGCATATGGGTAGGTCATGGTTTGTTTTGCTTGTTCTTCGCTGATGGTGCTGTCGGCTGCAGGCCAGGTTTTAGGAGGAGCGATTTATCTAGAGTGATGCCCCAGACGGACGGTCAGCATCTGCCCGACCCTGGACTGCCAGGCTGATCGCTAATCACCTGGACAAGCGGCGTTCTCTGACTTCGTCGCCGCTGGAACGGTGGATGGATTGCTAGTGGTACTGCCTCGTGCCAGGCATCAACCCTGGATTCGCACTGTACATGTACTATTAATTGGAACTGGCTAGACACCGTTCACTGCACTTATTCCCTGCTACCACTTCATGGACCCAAAAGAGCGTGACCAGGACCAGCTTGATCGTAGAACAATGTTTGCTGTGTCTGTAGTGAGTCGACGTTTGATCCACCACTAGTATTGCTAGTTAGCTACGTGCGGTACATGGGGGGAAGGGACCCAAGAAACAAGTCACCCTTGAGACCTAGACATCCTAACCGAATCTAAGCGAATCGAATCGAATCGAGTGTATGCAAGGATAGTCACCCGTGCGATTGGCCAGGCAGCCGAGTCACTCTTGCTAGCGTAGTGGCAGTCAGCCAGATCTACACGAGTAGAAAGCAGACAGCCTAGTTCTAGAATTTGATGATTTCTGCCGATCGGGATAAATCTCCCTGAAATATGGCAAACCTGGAGGTCTGGAGAAACAGTCTACCTATTCACCAACCAAGGAAACTCAGCAACCGAGGCCATCACCGCCAAAGTCGCTCTATCATCAACCAGAACACATGTAAGGCAGGTTTCCTTAGCCCCAGTCAGTAGGCACGTTCTTTCCAAGAACGTGCTACCCGAAAGAAGAACTTCCACCTTTGAGGTTGCACAGGTCTTGTGGGGTGGACGAAATCCTAACCATTCTCTGTTTTGACCTGTTCCGGTATGAATACTGTCGTCGAACAGCTAACCAAAGATTCGCCAGATAGGAGTTGATTTGTGCTGCATGCAGCTTTGGGTCCCCTTGCTAAGACCGACGGGATAAATCCGAAATGGTTCAAAAATCGTGGTTCCGTTGGACCACCGAATTTTCCGGGGCCGCCTACCGCCCTGGAAGCCGGCCCAGCGAAAAAGTTGCAGAATGGCGTTCGAATGTGACTGCAGGCGACGTACTGAAACTTCGGCTCTCATAGATCAGCAAACGCTCGGCTTGCCTCCACCGACAGACTTCATTTTTATCACAGCAGTAGTGCAGCATTGCCTGTCTTTGTTTGGGACTTGCCTTCATTTTGTTTCTTCGGAGCACCACCAGGGTGTTGTCTTCTCACAGTTTCAGTTTTCTCGTTAGTCTCTTGATTGTTAATTTATTATTTGGTGCACCATGGTAGCGATGCCCTCTCAATTGGAACTAGATATGGAGAATGGTGGCACTCTGCTGTGCCAACCTGCCACCATGGGAACTCCCACTAGACCACATAGGCAGCAACAACAACAAACCCATGTGGCACAAGATGTTATGTATCCAGCCTACACCAACGACTACCGCATTGTTAATGGCGCCTGTGGTGGTTTGGGTATGGTAGCCAATCGCAACATCAAGAAAGGTGAAATGGTGCTGACAGATTCGATCGAGTTTCTCTTTGCGGATGTCCAAGAAGGCGACCACATTATTATGGTTGGCCATGAAATGGCCTCCCGAGAAAGTGAAGCCCCTGTTCCAAAGCGAGTTCCCATTACACGGGACATGCTTATACGGACTCATGGAGTGCCTGTCTTGAGCCCTGACCCAAGCAACCCAGATTCGGCTGGAATTGAATTTTATCGCTTGGAAGTCCCTTGGATGCTCCTTAACCATAGCTGCGACCCCAATGTTGTGGATTCCTCGCACAAGGAGCCTGAAGGAGAAGCCATTGCCGCCAGGGATATTCAAAAAGGGGAAGAACTGACCTATGACTACACTCACCAGTATTATGACAGGAATCTCCATTCCTTTGAGTGCCTCTGTGGAGCTGACAACTGCAGAAAGTTCGTCACTGGGTTCCAAGGGCTCTCTGACGAAGATAAGGATCGTCTATGGCCTCATGTTAGTGATTACATCAAAGTTAGGCATTATGCTGATGCCGGCACTGGACCAAAGACAAAGGTTCAATATCCTGAATTTCCCGAGCGAAAGTCTTTTCCCGAAGAGGAGGCGATGCGCCTGGTGGTACCTGGCCCTAGCTGTGCTGAATCAGACGTGTCTTTGCGAAGAGATGAAGAGACGGGAGAGTATCGTCTCTTTGCGCTTAAGGACTTTGAGTTTGGTGAGAAGGTGTACTCCTTCTGGAACTTTGTCTGGCCTGAGCATGGTCAGATCGATGTGGACATGGTGGCTGCAGCAGATCTCTGGGAGGGTGATGCACCGGAAGGTACTGTGATCCGTGTCAATCCTCTGGAGCATGGTGTCAAAGACATCATGGGAAGGATACGATTTTCTGGTTATGACATGATGACACAGCATTCATGCGACCCGAACCTCGTCTACAACTACAAGGACGAGGACGAAGAAGATGATTGGCGCAGTGCCTTTGCTGCAAAGGCAATCAAGAAAGGAGAGATGCTCACCATCGACTTTAACAGTGTCTGGTGGGATCGCTCTGAAGTTGTTTCTTCTGGAGTTTGTACTTGTGGGTCCTCGAAATGCAGGGGCACTGCTCAGGGGTACTCTCATCTTTCCAAAGAAGAGCAAGGAGAGCTCATGTCGCTCTCATGGTTGCGATTGCCAGCACCGTACTCAGGCGAGAACAGACTTGTTACACCTGGTGATGCACTAGCACCACACATTAATGTTTGTTTGCGCAAAAACAGCATCCATGACCAATCTGATGCTACAGATGTATCAGTGTCAAGCAGCAACGTCTCCTCCAGCTTTGACGGAAACAGCTCAGAGGAGGAGTGAGGATTATCTGGGTTTGTCTTTTGGTGTTCTACTGTCTACAACTTGTGCCTAGCAGAGCAGAGCAACCATCCACATACTTGTTGTAAAATAGTAATGCACCTCCGTTTGTGACAATGGAGGCGAGAGAAACGTTTAACAATACCAACGACCGTCTGGCTGGGGGACGCCACCACAGGTTCGGCCCTTGCTTGACTTTGAAAGCTAGCATGAGCATAATAAATCTATGTGATCGATGTTCTACATGAATTAGTTCCTCTCTGCTAGTACCTGTAAGCGGACTTTGTAGCATGGCACTTGTCTTGATTGCTTGTATTAGACTACATACATACATGTAGTAGATCTGAATAGCTGCCGTACGGTAGTGCTTGCTTGGGCTTCAAAAGCTCCCAGTAGAAAACCAAGGCCAATGCGATTTGCCAAGAGCTCATGTCGAGCCACTGTGCGTTCCTCTGTCACACCATTTCAGACAACACCAGACAATTTTTGTTTCAACCGCCACACGACCTGGAGGTGGCAAAATTTGGACAAGGCATGCCAATATTGTGAGTGTCCTTCCCTTCCTTCTCTGAGAGAGAACATCGTTCTGCATCACATCAAGAAGAACGGTGTCATCGGAGTGAGACGAATAGAATACGTACAAGAGAAAAGGAGCAAGTGTGTGCTTTGTTTGTGGTGTCTGTGGTCGGCTGCAAACTTTCATCGGAGCAACTGGGTCCAAAGCTGCTTTTGGTGAAGACGATGCGTACTGCCGGTCCTGCAACTCCCGAGGTATGATGAACGAAGCACCAAGGAAGGAAGTAGTTCTGTTTGTGGGCTGCTTGCACTTGGAGGGCGCAACTTTCTTTGTCTCGGTCGTCGTCATTTTTTGTCATTTCTTGTTCGTCATTCTATCGCCCTCATTGCGCCTCGTTCGTTGCTTTTCTTGGCACACACTCTCGTGTTCCAATCAATCATTCAATCAACAGGTTGGTCCTGGTTTGGCAATGGGATCTCATGGCAAACGTCGTCGGCGAATCAAAAAGAAGAGCTTTGTACGAGGCTTGGATCAAGGCAGCCAAAACAAAAACAACAACCACAGCGACAATGACGATGATATCTTTGACTTTATGGACGATGGTCCACCCGTAGCAAAGACGAAGGTCAACGTGGTCAGCACTGTGAAAAAGGCCGAGAAGAAAGACGCTGTCAAAGCCAACAAACGAGCAGAACTTCTTGCCATTCTAGAAGATAGCAGCGACGACGAAGACATTGAAGAGCCAAGCGGGATTCGTCGTCCCATTCTGCAGAAGGCATCCGTGCTGAAACCCCAACGAGCTCCAACCCAACCTCAATCAAACAAGCAACGACCCAACTCAGCTTCAAAGGGCAGAGGTGTGGAACGGCGCCTCTCTTTCTCGGCAGACACCAAGGGCCCTGCCGAATCGAAAAGAAAGCTGCAGAACGAAAACAATACTCCAGCATTGGCATGTACTACAGATACTTCTTCTGCCAAGCGACCCCTGATTCCTGCCCTCCAACGGCCAGCACTCAAAAAGTCCATTGCTGCCAAAGGTGAAGCTCGAAAGGCAGCCAGAAAGGGATTCACGCAAACCAGCAAGCGCACACCACGGCAGCAGGGCAATAAAAGCAGCAGCAGCAACAACAACACCAAGACGACATCCACCACGAAACAACCGGGCAACACTGCTGCTGCTTCTGGGAGTGGAAAGAGCAATGCTGTTTCTTCTTCTACTGGGAGTGGAAAGAGCAATGTTGCTGCTACTTCTACTGGGAGTGGAAAGAGCAATGCTGCTGCAACTGGGAGTGGAAAGAGCAACAGTGCTGTATCCCAGCCCACCAAGAGTCTGGTACGGCCAAGGACAAACCGCTTTGTCATTGCCTTTGACTCACGATTCCTTGATACACTCGAAGGACGACAAACTGCTATGGAACTCATTGAAGAAAACCACAACTTCTTGGACTCGCTGGCATCCAAAGGTGCTTCTCCATACCTTCTGGCGTCCAGCGACCCTACAGCCACTGCCGCACAGATCCTGGAACAAGATGACTGCATCGAGCCGGCTTGGATCACACCATCCAACAAGAACAATGTCCGTGTACCCAAACAGCTGTTGGCAAGCAACTCCTGGGAGCATTTCGGGCAGATTGGTGAGTTGCACCCTTGCTGGATGTACTGGCATCTTTTCAGATCTTTAGTGACTGACCGTTCGTCGTCCTGCACATTGTGTCTCGCAGTCGATGCAATCATCGAACAAGACTCCAAGGCGGCTACAGCGTCCGGGGCATCAATGAAGAATCGTCAGGCACTTTTGGATGTGATGATTGTCACCAATGATGTATCCCTTTTCTGTGATGTAAGCGAGGGAGGGCATAAAAGAGCACTCTCCCGCTTTTGCGACAGAGCTGAGATCTTCTTTCGAGAAGGAGCCATCCGAACCATTCGTATTGTCGTGGCCAATACTGGGAGAATTGCCATTGCTCTGCCAAAGGAAAAAATAGGGAGTTCCCCGAAGTCAGAGGCGGAACAGAACGCCATCAGCTTTGATGTTGATGATGTTGACGATGTTGACGGAGACGACGATCAAGACAATGATGAACTCGGATCGCAGCAGCAAGAACCACAACAACTCACTGACTTGGAACAAAGAGCTGCTGAATATCAAGCACGACGAACGCACGAACTGTCAATGGCAGGCTGCATTCGCGCCATGGAATCCTTACTGAACAAACGATCTGAAATAGATTACGAGAAACTGAAGGTCGGCAGCAACAACAAAAAGCCAGTTCTACCGGTGGATATAGCTGTGTCGACGATTGACGCAACGACCAGTACACGTCTAGCCTTCAAGACGCTGCAGCGTAGTTGCCTTCGCGACATTGTGGACTCAACTATGGCAATCACCTTATCCAACTCCGCATCCTCAGCGCCCAAGACTCGAATTCATCTGGCGTTACCCGAAACGATAGATGGGATGCAATCTTCAGTTGCCTTGGAAGTGACACACAAGCTGATCCCATTTCCGCTAGACCGACCCTCAGTGACGGGCGGATTCTTTCATGATTTGCAGGAGCTGTGCTCGTCCGAGCTCAGCCTTGTTCAGTTGATCCCACTTGCTTTGGTTGATGCATCCTTACTCTTTGGGGTTCCAATGCATGTGCGAGCTGGCACGGAAGATGATATTGATCGCTACCACGAAGTCTGTGAATTGGTCAAGAATCTCTTCTCCTACATGCAAAAGCGCCAAGTTGCAATGTTGTTGCGAAGTTCGGGTCCGCCAGAGAGCAATGCTCCAGGAATTTTCCACAATCCACAACGAGGGCAACTGTTTCTGCTGGCTGCAGAAGAACCGGTGGGATCGAATGCTAAACCCTCCACTGGCAGTCTCTTTCGCTATGCCTCTGCTGACGAGCTCTTGTTGGAGACACAAAAGCCTCTTGATACTTCTTTGGTTCTACCCGATGAAGTGCGAGCGCAGTACGAATCGTATGTGGAAAATGCACTAGACATGTTGGACTGCTGTGCCGTGAATCCATTGTACTTGGAGGCTTCTCGGAGCCCACCATTGCGCAAAAAGCGCCGTGTCTCCATCGAAGAGCCTCCTGCTGAAAAGACAACTCTTTCAGTGGCTGAAGCTGACAAGATTTGGAATGACTCCACTGGTGTTGGCGCGCTCAAGAGTCCTTCCGATGATGATGATGAGAGTGGAGCCAATGACGACGATGACGACGATGAAGAGGATCAGCAGGGGTTCTTCGCCTTTGAGTATGATTGAACAGAAAAAAACGCTGCAAATGTGTCTCCAGCTTCCACTTGAACCAGGAGCCACTGGGTATGGTACCTCGAGCCGTCACGGCTGTGGCCTTAGCCATGTAGCCATAACAAACAAAATAGCGTGGATAGTTCTGTACCGATGCGGCTTCCTGCACTTTCGGCCTCGTGAAACAACGCTGGCCGAGACAGTCCCTCTTTTTATCCTCTTCGTTTTGAGGTAGCAATGCATGGACGGCTCCGGGGTCGCTGACAGTGCCTCATGATCACAGCGCACGGTAGCCTGGGGTCCGTGCTTTGGTTGGAGTCCTCAGCCATCGGAGCTTCCTGGGTCCAAAGGCTGCATACAGAACACGCACCGGTAACATACCGTACCGGTACCGGTACGGTACGATAGCAAGCCATCTACCTTTTCCAAGCACGGGATTAAGTTGCGAATCTTCAATCTTTGGTCCCTGGTGTCTGGTGGGCACGTATTCAGATGAAGAGGAATCGAATCAGTGCTCGGTACGTCAGAGCATAACCTCCCAGAGTAACCCTTGAATTCTGGCCTGGCTGCGGTAGCGATAGTTTGCACCACTACCAACTGGCAAGCCAAAACAGACTACTCAGTAGCTATCACGATCACCAAAAAGCTCAGACCTGTTTAATTTCCTGTATTTACAAATTGATCATCGTGCGGTAGGCATGTCCCATCTTTTTCTTTCCAGTCCACAAGTAGTGCTTGCTTTCTTTCTTCTCTATTGAATGTCTGTTTTGTCAATACTGTAACTACTGGTATGCTGCCATTTCCACGTCTTGCTGCTGATGTTTCTTCCAAACATTTAGCAGCCTGCGATGACGTACAATCGACGTGCACACGAATTTGTATTTTGATTTTGAGAATGACGACACGGTTTCGATCGTCAAATCCTCGGGTCACTGTTCTTTCTTGTCTTCCACGCGTTGTTTGTCGACATATTTTGCCTGCCAAGCAGTGAGATTTTGTTGCATTCTGGTGTTCAATTTGCAGACGGGTCTTCCTGGTTTGATTCCCTTTTCAAAGGCTTCCTCCCATGTTTTGAACAATCCTGCTTTGACGAGGCAGGCACACATGACCGTGGTACTTCGTCCGCGTCCGTGGGCACAGTGTACCAAGACATCCCCCCCATGCTTCTGCTGTGCAGTCACAGCAAAGATGGCAGCTTCCTCTAGCTGTTCAGGAGTAGCAGGAACTCCATCCCAGGTTGGTTTGGACATGTATGTTTTGGTGGTGTTGATGCAAGATTCGGGGAATTCCACAGTCAAATCAATGACGGAAGCCCACTCTTTGTTCAATTGATGGGCATAGCATCCGCCAACGTACCAACCAGGCTGGACTTTGCTTGCCACAGGAACATGCTCTTTGCGCGGCTTTTCTCCGTCTTTGCCTGGCACTGTGTACGTCCCATGGAGCGTGTGAATGTGGGTGTAGAGATAGGTCGGCAAATGAAAGGGAGCATACAGAATATAACTCCACAAGGGTATAGTGCCTCTCTTGGGATCTTTCCCAAGGAGCGCCATCCCTGCTTCTAGCTTGAACAACACTGCTATTAGCCCATTCAGCAGTGTCGAATAGCCCAGGAAAAGGACCGGCAATACTCGCCACAACTGGTTGTTTCGCATAAAGGTTTGCAACGGTTGGTCACTCGTAGCGGCGGCTTCATCTCCCCCCAACAGATACGAATACCCGGCGTAAGAGAGAGCCGAGAGACCAACATACTTGAGGTAAACGCCATGAACAGTGCCCATTTTTAGTTACACCACCTAATGTTGCTTGGTTGTTCGTTCACGGCTTGGTTGCTTGCTCTGCTTGATTTGGTTTGTGGCTCGTGCACTGCATCATCCGACATTCCGACGAGGACTTCGCCAGTTCGTTGTTCGATGACGGAGGATTTGACAAGTCCCTCCTGGATTCTTCCTCCTCGAGTCAAGTCCTGAATATGACGTTATCTTGAGGTTGACTCCCACGCCGCCATTCCCAACGTGGGAGCTCCATGAGGAGCTGGGTTTGTGTGTTGCCCCCTTCCGCAACTGCAGCATTCGTACTCCTCGTCTCATGCAATCATGGTTCCAATCTACTCAATTTGAAGCATTCCTGGAAAGCCGTACTTGGGAGATTGAAGCCTCCCACCAACAGGGGATTCGAATCCGTTCAGTTTTTCGGATTGGCTTCTGCGAACTTTTGCACTCAGCAACCATGCGCCCGTACCGGTACCGGTACAATACCGTACCGCACGGCACTTGACGAGATGGCTGGATAACCTCGATGAGTCGTTGGAGAACGAATCAAAACTCGTTTTGACATCGTAGCTAGACAAGGCGATTGCACCCTGACAATTGAAGGTGAAGAACTGACTGCAGGGGGCAGGAACCAGCGAGATCTGGTCAGCCTAGAGGTTTCCCCCCTGTACTACTACAACCTTGAAGCTACCGTAGTGTCTGTGTCACTTATACAGGCACACCCTAAAACCGCTTTGCTTGATCAGTTCTTCGCGAAGATGAAGGGCTGAGAGAGACATCATTGCTCAAAAGAACGGTGAAGCCAGCGTGCTTCGACAAGGGCGGATATTCGATACAAGTGGCATGGATCAAGCAAGCGCCCCCTACATTGAGCACAGTAGAGAACCTTAAAGTCGTCGCGGGCCACTGGCTTGGGTGACAAATCCTTTGGCTTCAATCATTCGATTCGGTGTATCACACAGACTCGTACCCAGCAGCAGAATGAACCCAATATACTGTATGTGTGATGCATGTAAGCAGGTTATTGATACATTTTGTAAAAGTACTATTATTTGGAACTACGAAGCAAATTGAACTATGAACTCCCAAGCCATAGCTGTGGAGTCGACTTTGGTCGACAACGCACAATCACATTCCGAGAACGTTGGGATCCCTCGGAAGGGACACTCTGTCGATTTGGGAAAGAAGAGATGAAATCAATAGTGTGAGCTTGGCGCCTCTTGCAATCCCTGAAAAAGAAACAATCACTTACCTGGAATGGTATTGAGAGAAGCAATCTGGAACGCTTCGATTCCTTTCTTGAATGGATGGTGCCCCTGACCCTTCACCTCGTACAACACGACTTCGTTGCCGTCTCGACAATCCGTATAAATGTACTTTCTGTAGTACTCAAAGTCGTAGATAAATCTGGAATCGTCTTCGCAATCGTTGAGCCTGGCCCAACCATCGAATGATGCCATTGCTCCAGCCAAGGGCCCACGGCGTTCTCCAAACGGCACGACTTTATCCTTGGAGCCTGCAACTAGTGCAATGGAGGTACTCCTGTAGTTATCACTAACCTCACCGCCTGGCACCCACATTGGATCTTGCGGCATTCCAGATCCACTTATAGCGACAACACCCGCCAAGACTCCCGGTTCCGATTGGAGCGCAAATCTCTGTGCCATTGTTGCACCGTTGGAATGTCCAATCATGTAAATTCGTGCCCTAGCAATGTTGACTCCATAATCCGGATTGGATCTCGCTAGAATTTCGGCAATCATGATTTCCAGGAAACCCACATCATCCACCCCCGCCAACTCAGCTCCAAAGAGACCAGTGCCGTCATTCCAACTCGTCACACTGAGACCAAGCACATCGAGGATTAATTCTGGAATGATCCAAGGCACATAAGGAAGGGGCTTCTTTATCCCTTGCGGCCAGGCGACAACCAGACCTGCCGTGTCGACAATCGTGCCAGAACCAAGAGAAGGCAAACTGGCACAACCACCAGCACCGTGCAAATCGACAATGAGAGGTACGTTGTTTCGTCTGCTCACAGCTCGTTCGGACACATAGGTGTACCAACATCGCTCTCTATCCTGATACTCTATACACGTCTGATTGACAAAGGCCCCTGTTCTATTCTCGAGCCATTTCAGTGCATCTGCGTGTTCACTGCAAGGACCGTATGGCGCCCGGTCTATGAGAGGTTCCAGGCCTTTGTAGATTGTGAAAACGCGGATGCCTAACGCTGCAAAGCGAGAAGCAATCAAGTTGATCTCGGCTATTATATTGTTGAAGTCAAAGTTTCCCATGGTGCTGTTCTAGGGTGAGTTTGTTGTTGGTGCTTTCCAGCTCAATTGTTCGTCTCGTTGCAGCACAACGCAAGATGGATCAGATGGTGGTGGCACTGGTACTGTCTTGGTGGTGTGTCCTCATCCACTTGGACCGGAGTGCATGGATCCGTCAGTTCCAACAGCTGTGTGCCATGTTCGACTTCCCCCGGCTCTAGTTTGGTGATTAGAAGATCATCTCGCCAACGCAGATGCGCCGCGACGACCTTTGTTTTTGCCACATTTTTCGCGCTAATCCGATTCGATTCGATTCAATTCGATTCTGCTCCAGTCCGACGTCCGACCTGATGCTGAACACTCACGAAATGGTTTGCCCTCACCAGAGCTTTCGTGACATTGGGACTGCTGGTATCATCAGAAGCCAAGCCTTGCCTTGGTACACTGTAGCGTCGAGACGAACGCAAATGGCTGGTGGGCTGGTGGGCCTGTCGATCAGTGACCTTCAGAGTTGAACGGAGTGGTCCACGAAACGAAACCTGAAAAGAATTCCAGTACGAAATGTGAAAAGTATCCACGACTTGAGGGAAGATGCTCGAGCACGGTTGTCGATGCTCCAAAGATGCTCCTCATGGGAAGGCCGAGACGTTCATGTCCTTTTGTTAACTCCGCAATGACATTATTGTGTCTCTTGACTTAGTGCTTCCATAAAAAGCTTTGTGGGAACAATTTTTCGCAACACAAAACGTAGCAAACAAGAAAGAAACTACGCTGGCTGGCCAGGTAGAGCAACAATGAGCGCCGCAGCCGTCACGACGGATCCTCACCGCTCCCATCATCCGGGTAGCTCATCATCGGATGTGTCACTGCCGATAGTGATGCCTATTGCGCATCTGGAGGATTTCCTTTTTGGGCTGACTCCAGAGGACGTGATGCTCCCTGTGCCGACCCTGTTTCCTTATCAAGCCATTGGCGGTTCCATGGACCCTGGAAACCTGAGTTCCTATGCGAGCACACGACGAAATTCCGCCACAACTCTGGCCACGCCGGAAGCAGCTGGCAGCATTTGCAGTAGCAGCACTACTGATTCCTATGGTGTAAATGTGGTCAATCAAACTCTTCTAGACGCTCGAAACGTCAGAGGGTCCTTTACAGGGACCATTGATCGGACCACTGGACTGCCTCATGGGGTGGGTCGGATGGAGTACGACGACAAGCGAGTATACAATGGAGAGTGGTTTCGGGGACGCTGGAACGGCAATGGTCAAGCAAAGTTTGCCAACGGCGATGTCTACAAAGGTGCATTTAGGCTGGACCGAAGACACGGATACGGCAAATACAAGTTCCACGACGGCAAAGTCTTTGAAGGAGAGTGTCACGAAGATCGGCGACACGGCAAGGGACTGTTTCTTTGGCCCGATGGTTCCAAGTATGTAAGTTGCTTAGGGTATGGGTCGTTGCACGTGCAGTCAAGTCAAGTTGGATGTAGAGATTTAGATTTGGCTTGATCCAGGAAGCTGAAACTCACAATCACAAATCCTTTATTGCATTTATTTGTCTTCAGCAAGGCGACTTTTTCCGGGGCGTGCGTCATGGTCATGGCACCTATACAACACCGGACGGCAGCCAGTATACGGGACAGTGGAAAGGAGGGCGTTTCCACGGCGTTGGCACTTACCAATGGGCCGACGGAAAACGATACAGTGGCGGGTGGCGTGATGGATTGGCTCATGGCATTGGCAAAGAAACCCTTGCCGACGGCACCGTGTCACATGATGGACGGTGGGATAAAGGCTCGGCCGTTTTCTCTTGCTGACCGAGTCTTCCTTTGCGAGCTACCTTCGATTCTGTGGTGGCCACCAGCCCATCATCAGCCAATGCGAACTCATACGATGCAACGCCCGCTGCCCCCATCGTGGTGATTGCAGTTGTGGACAGAAACACAGCATCGACACATTCCCCCATTGCTAGCTAAATACTAGAATGACTAGATTGTGCATTGGGGTTTTGTACTTGTTTTCGTGCGTTTTTGTGGTGGTCTTTTCGTGGCACTCTTTGGCCTCAAACTCGTTCGGGCAGAAGAGAGGAAAGTCGTACGGAGCTCCTCGTTTGGCCCCGACGTGTCCACTGCATCTCCATCTTCGCCTGCGTTCCATGCCAGCAGACCACCAGCCGCGAAGACACTTCGGATCGGCAGCTGGAAACAATTATTGAGACGCTCTCTGGCTAGCTACGGCAATACGTATTTCTGTTTTGAGTTTCTTTTCGAAGCAATTAAAAATATAGTGTTGCTTCCGGCACCACTATGTTGGTTGCTGTTCTTGTAGACTTGACTCATATGATATGCCACACTTCTCTGTCGTTTCACACCCGATTTGACGCTCTGAGACCCAGTCCCACGCTTCCTTTGGTGTATTTGGATTTAGCCGAAGCGCTCAGGGAGGCGATTCCGTCGACCGGACTGACACACTTGCATTCTGGACAGACACACATGGAAGCATCGGCAATACAGAGCAATTCAACATCACAGGCTTGACAGAAAATCTCCTCTACAAATCCAGTCTTGACGGCCGCCATTGTTTCATCAGTACCTCGTAATGGCAAGAAAAACCCAGGCTCAATTTCCAATTCTTGTGCTCTCTTTTCAGCCGATTTTTCGTCGTCATGCCAGGATTTCATTCGCCGAAAGGGAGCCCCCGTCTTTCGCTTGGTCGGAGTCCCCGACAGGGTCGAATTCTTGTTGATGCTGCCAGTGGATTTGCGGCTGTGTTTCTTTGGTTTCTGCTGTTGGTTGTACAGCGGTTCCTGCAGCTTAAGCTCTGCAAGAGAAGGAGCAGCGGATCCTTCCGAGTTGATGGAGTCAAAAGTGGCTGTACGACGATGGCGACGATGATGAGGGGCACTTCCAGTACTGCTGCTGTCGCAACTGAGACTTCCCAGACTGCCACGGCTGTGCTGTGAATCACGGCTGGCATGTCTCGAGACCTTGCGGCGAGGAGCCGTCGAGAGGATTCCTCCCAGCGGATCAACGTCTTCATCATCAATGGGCCAAGGAGCGCTGGCCACTGGCTTTCGTTTGACCGATAGCTTTCGGAATTCTTGATTCAATTTGGTCTCTGATGATTGAGACGACATGGACGATTGAGATGAAATGGATGACCGACGCCCCATCGATAGCGCCGACTTGACCTTCTTGTTGTGATGGCAACGATGAAAGGGCTTGCTATGAACATCAAGAGGATTGTCTTCTTCGTCCGTCATCATGGATTCCTCTGATGAGGATACCACCTCTTCTTCTTTGATCTCCTCATTGTTGTTGCCGCTGGCACCCGCAGACTCAGCATCGTTCATTTCATCTTTGGATGACAGACTAATTTCAAAGGTGCCATTGTCATGAAAGGAAATAATGGCCTCGGGAACTGCTTCTTCCACGGCTGAAATTGAGGGATACAGAGACACTTCCCGCTGCTTCTTTCGCCGACTGCGCTTAGGTCGAGGTAGCTTGCGAGACCCTCTTTCCAAATGATTGGTCAAAGGCTTGTGACTCCCAGAAGCTGGTCCAAAGGGATGATAAGGGCTTCCACCAGTTCCAGAACCGCCGTACAGAGACATGGCCATCATTGTTGGTTCCAATACAAATACAGAGCTATTTCTCTTGCGACTTTCGTCTTTCGACTTTTGACTGCGGGGGTTGAACAGATAGATCTGATCAAAATTTTGGACAGGGCTTCTGCTGCTGTTGCATGCCCCTCCAAAGCGACCTGTGCCATGTGCATGCATTTATTTACTGCCTTGGATCCGGCTCCAGCCTCCACGTTCTTGCTTGGTACCTGGAGGCAATGGTTAACTCTGGCTAACTCATTTAAACCACAGGGAACAAACCATTTAATTGACACTTGAACCCATTGGTCATGAAAGACCAGGGTACGTGCTCATGACGTTAAGATCTGGGATCCGGGACTTGAGGAACCACGTCTTTCAGCCTTTCCTTTCAAAACCTTGAAGGGCAATTCCAAAGATATGCAGAAATAAATGGGGGGAACACTAAAAACTACCGTGAACCATTCATTTTTTTGATAGGTAAAGTCTCTAGAAGTGCTCTAGTAGCTGAGAATATTATGTATAAGATTTACCCCCAAATATTTTCTCGCACCCTCTGGAGGTAACCCCTGCACTCCTAATACCTTCGACAAAGTAGATTCAACAATGGAAAACATCGAGCCATGTGCCCGGCAATTGAAAACGTCCAAAAGAAACTGGGAAGACACCAAGAGCAATGCCTTTTTAGCAACTGGGATTCAATGTTAGCTAATGCTCTATTGCAGCATTGCAGCAGCTGCACAGCTTGGCGGCGTTCCCTGCAGAAGGTCAAAGGAAGGTCAAAAGAGCGAAGGAGGCAAATAAATCTATCGGCGGTGACAACGTAGACTACTACAGTAGTCTAGCTAGTAGTATCTAGTATCCACTTGAGTACAAAGTCAGTTGTGCGTGGATGGAATCTGTCTGCATTAGAGGATGGAACCGCAAACGCTAGGTTCAAGCGTAGCGTTTAAACGCTAACAGGTCCCCTTAGCGTTTGTTATTATGCGTTTTTTAGCGTTTTTTATTACTATGAGCTCAGCGTTTTTGTTAGCGTTTTATTAGCGTTTTTGTTAGCGTTTCTGTTAGCGTTTTTTACAGTATTGGTGCACTACAATAGAGTGCAATCAGACAATTAAGAATGGTGTGATTCTTTAGAAATGGATATTTACATTTATTTTGTTTATATACTTTGAAATTTCATAGAAAAGTGCAGTAGATCAAAAGACAAACGATTGCGGTTAGAGCGGGCCCTGGCCACACCCGTGACCCCAAGGCGTGTCAGATCAAGATACCATTGGTTGCATGGTGAATTTTTGAAGTTGAAAACATCTAAAAACCGTTAAGGTCCACAAGAAATGATGAGGTGGACGCTCATAATTTGAGCTCAAGAGTTCAAATCACCGCCCCCAACACATTTTGCTTTTGGTTCTAAGTTAGTTTAGCTGAGCTCAGCTGAGTTTCTCAGAGTTCAAGTCTTGAAAATACAGTTTCTTCTTTTGCATTTGCTTTTGCTCTAAGTTTTTGGCTTGTTTTATTTTGTCATGTCTCAGCCCGACCTTCCTGCAACAATCGCTG